TGAAAAAACTCTCTAGTTCCACCCTTTTTAAAGGAATAGGATAGCCAAGCTAACAAGTTGTTGTTGCTACTTATATCCTTTGCTTCTACTAAAAATACCAAGTGGCAAAACACCCCCCCACCCCCAGTGTTAGCATAGTGGGAAAGATTCTTGACAAGACTGGGTGGTTTATTGTATTCTGAGCATTCACTGGTAAGGGCAGAAACTTAAAGCTGAGAATTCAATCCAAGTAAATGATTGTAAGTCCTGAGTAAAGAATCTGTTTTGCAGCAAAACTGCTAGGGCTTGAGCAGATAAAATCCTTCTGGAACCTTAACCATGATTGGGGAGTGATCTGTAGTTTTTGCCTTTTCCCTAAGCCCATTTCTCCTTCATGGATTGCTGCCTTGTCATGGCGAAGGGGGTTGAGTAACTCAGAGAAGCTATGGGCTATGCCGTGCAGGGACACCCAAGACGGACAGGACATAGTGGAGAGTTCCGACTAAACGCAATCCACCTGGAGTAGGAAATGGCAAGCCACTCCAGTATCTTTGCCAAGAACGCCCCATGAGCAGAAACAAAAGGCTAAAAGATATGACGCTTGAAGATGGGCCCCTCAGGTCGGAAGGCGTCCAACATGCTACTGAGGAAGAGCGGAGGACAAGTACAAGTAGCTCCAGAGCTAATGAAGTGGTTGGGCCAAAGCCGAAAGGACGCTCAGCTGTGGACGTGCCTGGAAGTGAAAGGAAAATCCAATGCTGCAAAGAAGAATACTGCATAGGAACCTGGAATGTAAGATCTATGAATGTTGGGAAGCTGGAGGTGGTCAAACAGGAGATGGCAAGAATAAACATCGACATCCTGGGCATCAGTGAACTAAAATGGACAGGAATGGGCGAATTCAGCTCAGATGATTATCATATCTACTACTGTGGGCAAGAATCCCGTAGAAGGAATGGAGTAGCCCTCATAGTCAACAAAAGAGTGGGAAAAACTGTAATGGGATACAATCTCAAAAATGATAGAATGATGTCAATACGAATCCAAGGCAGACCATTCAACATCACAATAATCCAAGTTTATGCACCAACCAGCATTGCTGAGGAGACTGAAATTGAACAATTCTATGAAGATTTACAACACCTTCTAGAACTGACACCAAAGAAAGATGTTCTTCTCATTCTAGGGGACTGGAATGCTAAAGTAGGGAGCCAAGAGATAAAAGGAACAACAGGGAAGTTTGGCCTTGGAGTTCAGAATGAAGCAGGACAAAGGCTAATAGAGTTTTGTCAAGAGAATAAGCTGGTCATCACAAACACTCTTTTCCAACAACACAAGAGGCGACTCTATACATGGAAATCACCAGATGGGCAATATCGAAATCAGATTGATTATATTCTCTGCAGCCAAAGATGGAGAAGCTCTATACAGTCAGCAAAAACAAAACCTGGAGCTGACTGCGGTTCTGATCATCAGCTTCTCATAGCAAAATTCAAGCTTAGACTGAAGAGATTAGGAAAAACCACTGGGCCACTCAGGTATAATCTAAACCAAATCCCATATGAGTACACAGTGGAAGTAAAGAACAGATTTAAGGAACTAGATTTGGTGGACAGAGTGCCTGAAGAACTCTGGATAGAGGCTCGTAACATTGTCCAGGAGGCAGCAACGAAAACCATCCCAAAGAAAAGGAAATGCAAGAAAGCAAAGTGGCTGTCCAACGAGGCCTTAGAAATAGCAGAGAGGAGAAGGGAAGCAAAATGCAAGGGAGATAGGGAAAGTTACAGAAACTTGAATGCAGACTTCCAAAGAATAGCAAGGAGAGACAAGAGGGCCTTCTTAAATGAACAATGCAAAGAAATAGAGGAAGATAACAGAAAAGGAAAGACCAGAGATCTGTTCAGGAAAATTGGAGATATTAGAGGAACATTTTGCGCAAAGATGAACATGATAAAAGACAAAAATGGGAGGGACCTAACAGAAGCAGAAGACGTCAAGAAGAGGTGGCAAGAATACACAGAGGAATTATATCGGAAAGATTTGGATATCCCGGACAACGCAGACAATGTAGTTGCTGACCTTGAGCCAGACATCCTGGAGAGCGAAGTCAAGTGGGCCTTAGAAAGCCTGGCTAACAACAAGGCCAGTGGAGGTGATGGCATTCCAGTTGAACTATTTAAAATCTTGAAAGATGATGCTGTTAAGGTGCTACATTCAATATGCCAGCAAGTTTGGAAAACTCAACAGTGGCCAGAGGATTGGAAAAGATCAGTCTACATCCCAATCCCAAAGAAAGGCAGTGCCAAAGAATGCTCCAACTACCGTACAATTGCACTCATTTCGCATGCTAGCAAGGTTATGCTCAAAATCCTCCAAGGTAGGCTTCAGCAGTATGTGGACCGAGAACTCCCAGAAGTACAAGCTGGATTCCGAAGAGGCAGAGGCACTCGAGACCAAATTGCTAACTTGCGCTGGATTATGGAGAAAGCCAGAGAGTTCCAGAAAAATATCTACTTCTGCTTCATTGACTATGCGAAAGCCTTTGACTGTGTAGACCACAGCAAACTATGGCAAGTTCTTAAAGAAATGGGAGTGCCTGACCACTTTATCTGTCTCCTGAGAAACCTATATGCGGGACAGGAAGCAACAGTTAGAACTGGTCATGGAACAACTGAGTGGTTCAAAATTGGGAAAGGAGTATGGCAAGGCTGTATATTGTCCCCCAGTTTATTTAACTTATATGCAGAATACATCATGCGGAAGGCTGGACTGGAAGAAACCCAAGCCGGAATTAAGATTGCCGGAAGAAATATCAACAACCTCCGATATGCAGATGATACCACTCTGATGGCAGAAAGTGAGGAGGAATTAAAGAACCTTGTAATGAGAGTGAAAGAGGAGAGTGCAAAAAACGGTCTGAAACTCAACATCAAAAAAACTAAGATCATGGCCACTGGTCCCATCACCTCCTGGGAAATAGAAGGGGAAGATATGGAGGCAGTGTCAAATTTTATCTTCCTGGGCTCCATGATCACTGCAGATGGAGACAGCAGCCCTGAAATTAAAAGACGCCTTCTTCTTGGGAGGAAAGCGATGACAAATCTTGACAGCATCTTGAAAAGCAGAGACATCACCTTGCCAACAAAAGTCCGAATAGTCAAAGCTATGGTTTTTCCTGTCGTGATGTATGGAAGTGAGAGCTGGACCATAAAGAAAGCTGACCGCCGAAGAATTGATGCCTTTGAATTGTGGTGCTGGAGGAGGCTCTTGAGAATCCCCTGGACTGCAAGGAGAACAAACCTATCTGTTCTAAAGGAAATCAACCCTGAATGCTCACTGGAAGGACAGATCCTGAAGCTGAGGCTCCAGTACTTTGGCCATCTCATGAGAAGAAAAGAGTCCTTGGAAAAAACCTTGATGTTAGGAAGGTGTGATGGCAAGAGGAGAAGGGGACGACCGAGGATGAGATGGCTGGACAGTGTCTGCGAAGCAACCAACATGAACCTGACACAACTCCGGGAGGCAGTAGAAGACAGGAGGGCCTGGCGTGCTCTGGTCCATGGGGTCACGAAGAGTCGGACACGACTAAACGACTAAACACACACACACACACATAAGCCCATTTTCCTCTCACTGTTTCATCAAACAACCTTTCATTTTAAGTCAGTGATTATCAAACATGGGGGCCTAGATTTTTTTGGACTACAAATCCCAGAAACTCTAACCATTAGACATGTTGGCTAAGGCTCCTGGACATTTTAGTCCAAGGTCCTGTAGAACCCCAAGTTTGATAACTATGGCTTCAAGTTACACTGACTGTTAAGTGTAGATAATGCTAATCAGGGCTCAGCTGTAGAAATCTCACTTATCAGTTAATCAGAGATCAGGATTGAACTGTAAGGTTCTGCATTTCCCAAGTCGCTCTTGTTCCACACACATTTATTACCTTTCTGCTGTTGGTCTTAACCATGGTTAATACAGATTGTGAAGGATTTGTATTAGAAAGACAACACTTGCACAAACACTGGGATCTTGCAGTCAGTTCCTGATCCCGTCACTGCAGCCTTTGTTGCTATTCAGAAATCTTGTGCATCTCTGATTACATGAACTGGATATTAATTAGCTGGCCCTTGTGAGCCATTTGGTACTCCTGTAGTTGCCAGGAGAGCTTGATGCTCCAAAGGAAAGGAGCTATTTGATAATGGAAGATGTGAGAGTAGGGATCAATTTAGAACTGGACGTGTCCTCAGAGCATTAAGAGTGTGAACTTAAATGCATGTGCTTACTAGAAATGGGAAATGTCTTCCAGCTTCTATCCACCATGCCTTTTTCTTGGATCCTGGGAACAAACATTTGCCCCTAATCTTCCACACTTGTCTGCTTCTGATTTACAGAGTGGTTTTTCTCACTGGTTAGATAGCTCAGTGGATATCTGGTTGCAAAGCCAGAAGTGGGGTTCCTCACTGCACATCTGGGGAGAAAAAACAGCCTGTGTGGCCTTGGGCAAACTGCACAGTCCCAGGGTGCCCCCAGAAGATAGAAGTGGTAAAACAGTTCTGAGTATACTCTACTGGGAAAATCCTGAAAAGGGCTGACAGAATTAACTTGATGGCACACAGTTATTATTATTTTCTGTTCTAGTGAATTGTCCAGCTAGCTACCACATATCTAGCTGCCACACAGAGCAGGATGTCTGAGAAGTGATTTTGATTCCCTCACAGTCTGAGAAACATCATCCTTCTTCAAGATCAGCCCTGTTGTTAGGCAGATTCAGACATTGACTTCAGGTAGCCAGTTTTGTTTATCCAGTTTGCTATTGCTGTATTTTCAGTGCTAGCAATATAGAGAGACGCACGTGGGATGCTCTGCTTCACGCGAAACCAAAACAATTTATCTGGCTTTTAGGTATTGTGCTGAGGTGGCTGACGGTGTCATTCACTGCTCTGCCTCAGGCAGCAAAATGTCTTGAGTCTGACCTTCTGGCTTTCCTGACATCCTCTCCTTGTTGCTTGCCTCCTCAGGTATTGAGGATCTTGTCCTGGCGGATATCAGCTCACCCAGTCGGGCACAAACAGGCGACAGCAGCAGCATCTCGTCCTTCAGCTACCGTGAAATCATGAAAGAGGGATCTGTGGCTGGCAGTAACAAGGTGAGGGGCTCCAGGGCAGAAGAGCCGACCAAAGGGGCCTTATGTGGTGAAAACCAAGGAGGCTGGAACTCTTGAAGGGTCAGAGTCTTTGGCACATTTTCTGAGGGGCAAGTTGGCCTTTCCGTGTGAGGTGGAAGAGTCTGAGTTTTTCCTAAAAAGTGGCATCTGAAGAGTGAAGAAGAAAACTGGCTCCTGTGAGAACAAGAAGAATTAAGTTGCCCTTCAGTTTTCATTGGAAAACTGATTTTGGTTGCAAAGATGGAGATGCTACCAAGCTATGCAGTGCCTACTTGTTTTGGACTACAGCTCCCAGAAACTCCTCCTTTCTGGGAGTTGTGGTCCAGAAATGGAGGTAGCTTTTCCATATTTTGAAACCAGTGTTTCAGCATTTGTGCCTCGCTGTCTTTTTCTCCCCTCTCCTCCATAAAGCCAGTGAAATTCACCGTACAAGGCGATGTGACCCTCCCCACAACTCCACACTGCTCATTTTCACTGGTGCAAGAGTGGAAATTCCAGCATGAGGTGTCGCACAGTGAATGTTCTTGGGTGTTGCCATGCAGAAAAGCATCCCTAGCAACTAGTTCAGGGCTGAAGTCCTCTAGATATTTTGGATCTCAGCTCATGGAAGGCCCAGCCAGCATGGGTAGTGATGAGGGATGATGGGAGTTACAGCTCAAACAACCAGAGGTCCAAGGGCCCTTTCTCCGCCATTTTAAAAGAACTTGCATAAGCATATGTTAGGTGCTCAGAGCACTTCATGTACTTTGTTTTGATCACAATATTTATAAGCCACGTTTTCTGCTCTAAAATTGCACCCGAGACAACTGACAACAGTTAGTAAATATAAAAAGATAGCTCAGGTTTGTTGCAAGTGGAATTTAATAAAGCCAGTATAAAAACCCAATGTTAAATTCATAGGCCTTTTGAAATCTTTCCCACAGGCTTGTAAAAGATGTTACTGTGCTGCAAGGCAAATGACAGTGGGTTGTCAAAGGCTTCCTGGTTTATAGACACTTGAGTCTCTACATTAATCAGTTTTCTCCATGTGTCAAAGTCTAGACATCAGTAAAAAAAAGAAAGAAAAAGAAAAGCACCAGTCATGTGGGGAATTGGTAATTTTTAGGCACACTAGATGGGAAAGTGGCCTGCCAATAAGAAACTGGAAAGATACATAAGTACATGTCACAGGTTACAACCGCTATAACTTAGAGAGCATCATGCATGTAGGAGTCACCCATCTGCTTAAGTTAACAGATAGGTGGAGTCTTACCTGTTCTCCTGGGTTCCTGAGCTCTCCTGCTGTTCTCAGTCTGCAAACATCTGCTCTGTAGTTTTTACTGGTTTTAATGTTCCCCAGGAGATGCATCCCTAACCCTTCTGTGCTCTGGAAGTCTGCAGGTGATATCATTTCCCCAATTGCCTTACGTTGATGGAAATCCTGGGGCCAACCCTCTGTCTGTACGAGTGGTCAGTAGTTTTAGGCTTGTGTCACTGTAATAATTGTCTTAAATCTGATTGTGAGTCCCAGCTAGAGTAGATGCATGATCGGTGAGAGCTTGGTAAATCAGCACTTATCTGAGTCCCATTGATTCAACAGGCTTACTCTGTCTTGGGACTCACCATTGGATTTGAACTGTTATTTTCATAATATACATCAGCATCAGCCTTTCAAATGTTTTTAGCCTACAGTTCCCATTAGCCGCAGCACCGTATAAACCAGTGGTTCTTAACCTTTGTTACTCGGATGCTTTTGAACTGCAACTCCCAGAAACCCCAGTCAGGACAGCTGGTGGTGAAGGCTTCTGGGAGTTGCAGTCCAAAACTCCTGAGTAACCCAAGGTTAAGAACCAGTGGTATAAACTTTGTTGATGGAATATGGATGTTGCAGTCTGAAAGCCAAAAGTTAACTGCATTAAACCCTTTAGCATTAAGAGAGAGAAATAATTTTACTTGAAATCTTTGGAATTGGGGTGTTCTCCAAATGCTACTTGGAGGGAGGGAGCTGTGGATATCAGAAGTAGCCTGCCTGCTTCTCTCCCTCTTCTCTCTTTCTCTGTCTCCAACATGTTCTCTTCTGTTGAAGTCAACCACAGGCAGCCCACAGTCCCAATCACAGCCCCCACGGCCAGCCGACCTCTCAGACGAGGAGATCTCCGAGCTGTTCCAGCGTCTGGCTGAAGTTCAGCAGGAAAAGTGGCTGCTGGAAGAGAAGGTATTGAAACTCCAGAGACCTGGTTGGGGAACGGAATGGTGGGTGGTGAAGGTTTTGAGAAATCGTGAAGCCACCGGATGTTTACTGGCCCTCGTGCAGCAGAATGGGCAGCGCTGGACATCAGTGTGCTAGTGGCCCTGGAATATACTTCCAGTCCATTGACTAGGAAAAGACTTCCTGGTGCTGGAAACATTGCCTGTGCTTGAATTCACAAGGGTGTCCTCTTCCTCCACTAGGTGAAGCACCTTGAGGTCAGCAGTGCCTCCATGGCTGAGGACCTGTGCCGGAAGAGCGCCATCATTGAGACCTATGTGATGGATAGCCGCATTGGTGAGGACTTGGCCATTCTCAGCAGGGGGCCAGCTTGGGCCTTGCCATTTTGCAGTTACGACCTCAGCTGAGGGAAAAAAACCAACCTCGGAAGTGTTAAGCTTTCTGGACTGTAAATCTCAGGATCCTCAGCCAGCTTGCCAGGAGGCCCTGTGGTCATGCTGTCTGGAGGATTCTGGGATGTTATCCAAAACGCAGCCTTTCTAAGCTCTGCGGGAGTGGGAGGCAGAGATAAACCAAAAGACTTTACTGCTGGGCTATTTTAATGTCAGCCAAACTGAGTAGTTGTGGGTTCGCAAGGCTCCCCTTTCTGATAGGAGAGGGGGATTTTTAATGGTGTGTTTGGGACCTCTGAGGCCGCTGGGAATGTGAGTTTCTGTGTGGTAGAAATGAGCTCTGAATGGAGGGATCCTTAGCTCACATGTCTCTCTGGCATTGATTGCAGCAGATAGTGTTGCCTGGATGTTCCAGTGATGATCTGGAAAAAAGAGAGAGAGAGTGAGAGAGAGTGAACATATTGGATAGCCATGGATAGGCAGCCTGCAGATTTTTTGGACTAGAAATCTCCTAAGTCCCAGAGAGCAGAAGCAGGGGTAGGGAATATGTGAGTTAGAGTCCAAAGCCTCTGGAAAGGGAGGGGCAAGTGGGGTGCCAGTCTCCCTAACCCAGATGATGTCTGTGCTCTGCATACTGGGAGCACCGTTGTGCATGCCAAATTTCATTCTGCCTCTTCGCACACTGGAGCAAGCAGATTAGAAGGTATTCTGGGTAGATGCTATCAATTTAGATTTTTTTGCTTTTTACTTCCTTGAGAACGTGAGGTGCCTTGGAAATGCCTACATATTTAGGAATATAAATCCATCAAAATAATATGAAATTCAGAATAGGTGCTTGGTCATCAAGAATTCCCTGTTCCCAGCACACCCCCGGCTGAGTAATCCAGAGGCTGGTGTGCCTCCGCTTAATTTGAAAGGAGAGCGGATCATCATGACCGCAAAGATAAAGCACGCAAGGGGCATGGCTGGTGCTGGCTCAATGTCGGGGAAAGAAAAGGGATCTGGGGAGGCCCCCTGAGGCGTGGACTGCGCAGCCCCCACATTTGCCAGGTCCCTTCTTTGAGCAGGACATCCTCCCCACATACCTGAAGGGGAGAAAGAACTGCTGACATCCTGTGGTTTAGTAATGTGAATCACACTTGAGGAGACCGGTTGAATCAATGGGGATTTGGTGAGTCATCTCCTCCATCAGTTCTATTGATCCAAATGGGCTTACTCTAGTTGTGACTCAGTACATATTTGAATGAGTGGAACTTAACGGAGGAGTCGAGTCACTCAGTCCCCATTGATTCAGTGGGCCTTCTCTAGTGCAACTTCCCCTGCTAAGCAACAAGGTTCCAGCCATTGGATGGGACACATTTGATTCTAACCCCAACCCTCTTGAGGGCTGCCTTTTACACTGGACTAGGAGCTGGGGAATGATGGCCACTGCAGACTCTTCCCATGACACTTGTGGAAGATCTAGGAGTCCGCTGCCTGCCAGGGATGCCGGTCCCAAGGACCTTCCTGCAAAATTGGCATACAAATATCCATGCCATGGGTACCGTCCAGCTTAGTTCTTCACCTGTCAAGAAATTCTCATTTCTGCACTAAAGGAGATAGGGAAGGAGCATGTGGACAGAATCCTGAAGAAGTGAGATTAATTTTAAAAAAATAGTACAATGTCATTGATTTGGAGGATCAAGGCTTGGGCAGCGAAGATTTATGCACAGATTATAGCAGCCTCCATCCCACTCCTGGATATTGACTCCAGATCGGAGGACAGTGACATCAAGCAGGCTACAAGAAAAGCTACTCCTGTCTGAATAGTCTCCTGCATGTTTTGCATAAGGTGGGCATTGGACTTGAACCGTAAGAAATGTTTTGAAGTTGTGAACCTGGGACCGAACGAGCGTGGGAGCTGGGCACAGCTAGTTACCAATGTATTGGGGAGGGCGCGGTGGCTGTATTCCCTCCTCACTCTTTGTACCTGCTTGTAGATCTGGCATCCCTGCCCCACCCCCACCCCCATGTCTTTTCCGTGACAGGACTGGCTGTAAAGGGGACCTTTTTGGATCATCATTGAAACTGAGGGCAGGAGGGGATGGGGCTGCTTCCTGCTGCAGTCAAAATGGCAGTCTCCATGGGGACTTGCTGTCAAAACCTGTTAGTGGCATCTCCTGTCGTAGGGCTCTGACAAAAAGCAGGAAGAAAAAGGGGCTGTTCCCACTCAATCTCACTGCAGCAGAGAGGAAAGCACATGCTTCACTGCAGCCATGCGCAGGCTTGACTCTTTCCCTTCTTTCTTACATCTGTCCTTACCTTATTCTTCCAGTAAGCTCTGTAGCTGCTTTTCTGTGGATCAAGCTTTAGGGTGGTGGGCAGAACCATTCAGGATCTCTCCTGGAGACTTGATATTTCCAATGCAGGCAGAGACCCAGATGTTGAGCCAGACCTTTTAATGTCTTTCTTTTTAACCCTCTACTTCAGGTAGCCTCCATTGGTATGCCAAATGGCAAGAAGCTTTTTAAAAACTCTCCAACATTTAATGATAGGGAAGGGAGCCGCTGCAACTCAGGAAAGCAGAGGATGGCCCTGCTATTTGTGTGGAAGGTTTCCCTCTGACTTATGAGCCCCTGCTTTTATTTATTTTTGAATTTAACATTTCTAGCTCTTATTGTGCACAGATAAGTTTTAAAAAGCAAGGATTTCTGCTGAAGTCTTTGACGCTGGGGAGCGAGCATTTGAGGAGGAGACTTTCCACGGGGTGGACTGCCTCTGCTTTGCTCCATCTCCCCATTTTCCACTCTTCACAAAGCATGCAAGAGGTTGTTCATCCTGGTGTGGCTTTTCCTGTAGGCTGGCCAAATCCTTCGACACCCATTAGGAGCCAACGTCCGGAAGCAGGATAAGCGGGGCTGCTAAAAGCTCTGGGACCGCTCTGACCCACACCATCTGCTCTCAGTCCCATGAGATGGTCTGAAGACACCTCATGAAGCTAAGCCAGCTGGGGCCACTCAGTTTTCTGGATGGTGGAATAGCTCAAGCATCTCCAGTCTGCAGCCTTCAGTTTTATGCTGTAGGAGGTGACAAAAGCGGGATATAAATTAAATCAGGAAGTGAAGTTAAAAAAGAAAAACCCAAAACCTACATCTGCCCTTTTTGGCTACCCAACAGGTTTCGCACCTCCTCCATCTTTTACTGTTGAAATTTTGCACTTTGGATGAGAGCATTTAAACTAGTGCGTGTGAAAGCCAGCTCAATGTTCGGATTCAAGAGGGATTTTATTCATCACAAATAAACATGGTGGCGGGAAGCAATATCCTGACAGTTCTATAGTCTTGAATAAACTGCTTCTGCTAGTGCTACATAGCATGATGTCTTAACAGTCAGGGAATTGTCATCCAAAGAAAATGACTTTAACTGGTTAGAACACTGGTATGTTTTCAAAACCAATAAATCTCAAGAGAACATCCTAGCTTACATTTGCCCTCTGGGTCACAGAATTGTGGCAAAGAGCACTGACAACCTTTGGATGGAGACCATTTGTATTTGCCTTTGTAGTGCCCATGGTGGCGGATATTGGGAAGAGGCAGACTGAGGAGGGGGCTTCTCATAAAGAAACTAGAGCAGAGTCACTGGTTCTGCAGTGACCATCTTTGACCATAGTAGACTTATGGTGTGCAAATTAGAAACCTGACTAAGGCCTTAAGCCTCATGTTGGAAAAATACCCTTGATCTGTCAAGAGACGGGCACGGAGGAAATTTGTGCCTCCTCCCTACCCCAGAGCACAAGATGGTTTGATGTCAGGAAGCCTTCATCTTTTCTGCAATCTGGGATTCACTGATCTTTTGTTATTCCTTAATCACACTTCCTGTACGCCCCCCCCCCCGCTGGGCATGTTTTATTTTGTATCACTTGCTGCCCACAACCTGAACTCTTCCAAGGCTTGCTGAAGACTCCAGAGCCCCAAACATGGACGTTTGGGTCTCTTCCATGGAACCTTTGTTTAAGATTAACCGAATAAACTAGAATTGTGCCTATCTATGCCTTTTGGGTGGGGGAAGGCACTCTGCTGCAGGAGCAGCACAGTTCTGCAACCTATGTAAATTATGCAAAGAAAGAAAAATCTGTCTACATTTTTCATAGATATTGCTACTCATGCAGGAGACAGTGAAGTCCCTGCTTCCTAAAGAACTGAGATCTTACTTGCTCCTCCCTCTTCCCCTTCCTGTGCTAACCCTAACATTGCCCCAAACACTAAGTTGGAGATCTTAAGGACTAAGAACCTGCTGCTCTTGTTTTGAAACAGCCAAAGCTTTAGAATCCCAATTTAACCAAATTTGGTATTTGATATCCAGAATCTGTGCCTTATGTAACGAATGCAATTACAGGGAGCCGCCCTGTACAGAGCCCTGGCTTTCACCTCGAGACAAAGGCCGTCCTGCAAGGGCTGTTCTTTCATCCCTGCTTGTGGTGAGCGGGAAACTGCTTGTGATTAGCAGCCATAGGGTTTCCAACTCCAATTTGGGGTGAATTGTGTCCCCTAAAATAAACCTGTCTGCACGTTAATGGCTTTCTGCTTAGCAAGAGTGAAAAAGATGGAAATGCAAAGCAGGTTTCTGTGTTCTCCTAGCTTTGTGTGTGTGTCAAGGGCCTGGGTGGGTGGGTGGATGAGTGCCATGCTGTAGACAGAAGGGTGGTGGGAACGCATTTGCACAGGACCTCCAGAACGCACCAAGGTGGAAGTACAGACAGCGGTCAACATTTTGCTCTTGGCGTGAGAAAGTGTCAGGCTCAGCAAATCGTTTGGCAAATCAATCAGAGCAAGAAACCAGGACACCAGGCCATGAGAGGAAAACTCTCTGTCCTATCCCTCCATCCATCAGCTTGCCTTCCTGGTGTTCCAGCCAACCAGCCTCTTCGCTGAATCCCACAGCCCACTCCTGCAGTGGTGCGAAGGA